GGCGACGACCCCCCCCCCCCCCCCCCCCCCGATATTCCACCCTTCCTCGTTCTGACCTTAAAGGAATTTATTACCGAGGAGTGTAAAATGATTACTGCAAAATCGTTCTGCGTTACTGGGAAATCATTGCAACGTTAGCTCAGTAATATTTTTTCGTAAGTGTCTGCTGTGTCTCTTCTCTGACATACTCGGTCTCCACACGCACATCCACACCCCCACAAATCCCGCCGAAGCCAAGAGGTGCTTGGCAGAGGACGGGAGCGCGAACCTGACCCGGCACTCACCCCGGCTCCCTCATTCCCGCGCCGGCGGACGAGGTTGCCATCCCTCGGCCAACCGGCTGCATCCTCAGACCCACGTGTGAGCTCTCCCCCATCCTGGCTCGTCCAAATGGCATGGGTGCTCCGCTGCCCCGGCCTCAAGGGGTTTTGCTAGCAGATGCTCACGGGATGCTCGTGGAGGATCCTGCACCGGGTAAGGCCTAGGATCAGCTGTTTTGCTGAGGGGTTTTGGGAAAAGGAAGATCCCTTTCTCTCTCCCATGCTTGCGCTCAGGAGGTCTGGGCGAGAGACCCTGCTCCCCCGGGGCCAGGGGGGGAGAAGGTGCCGATGAGGAACGGCGGAGGAGAAGGGGCTGCCGAGGCAGCCGCAGAGAAGGACACCGACAATTCTGCAAATACGTTTAATGCACTTAGAATACACGGGAGGAAAAAAACGTTTAGTGATTCACAAAAATATTACAAAAAGTCACGTGCAGGTGAAACACACCCAGCACTGCAGTAACAATGTAAGAATTTACATTAGAAACTAATATAAAATATTTAAAAACCTCTGCTAGTTTAGCTTTCCATCTGTTTTTTGTCTTTTATAAAAAAAAAAAAAAAAAAAAAAAAGAGGGAGGAGGGGAGGGGGAAGCAAGGCCATCTACAAGGTACTGACACACCTGCTGCAGAAAGGCGGGCTCCGTCCAGCCCCGTCGGCAGCGTCCTCGGGCTCCTCGCTCGAGGCGACCCTGCGCACGCAGACCGCACACTCTCGCACACGCACACAGCTGCACTACGGAAAGGTTCACCTCCGGGCTGCGAGGGCAGCCCCAGCGGCCAGGGTTCGCTGTGGTCCCGATCACCCCACGTGTCCCCCGCCCTGGGAAGCTGCCTTTGCTCTAGGTTTTTTCAGAAATCGTCCAGCATACAAAACAAGTAGTGTCCCCAGGGAGCAGCAAAACCTCCATCCCTTTAAGAAAAGGGAAAAGCCGGCATCTCCAACCTGGGCTGGATGAGAGAAGGGTTTTGAATGACTAAACCTGGGTTTGGAATGTGACTGGGGCCAAACGCGGAGCACTGGGACTCTGGGGCTGGATGGGTGCAAGGAGCATCCTGGGGCTGGATGGGTGCAAGGAGCATCCCGGGGCGGGGGCCAGGTCATTGGTGCAAGCCCCCAGCGGGAGGCCGTCTGCTTCCACCGGGCTGCAAATTGCTGCTTTGGGGAAAGCCAAAATCGGAGAACAAAAGATGCCCGGAGCCCCCCAGCCCATGATCAGTCACTGCCAGGACGACACGGCCACTCGCACCCCGCCTCCCCTTCCTCTGCCCCCCACGGGCTTCCCAGCCCGCTTGCTGCTGCAGGAGGAACGGCGCAGGAGCTTCATCACCGGCACCGCAAAGTCCTTCTGCGCCCATCCTGCCCGCGGCATTGTCAACACAAGCCGTGTTTATGTAGGACCTACCGCACACGGCGACAGCTCGGTCCCTCCCACCCTCGCCGCTTGTGCAGCGGAGGGTTTCCGGAGCCGCACTTTCGCTGCAGTTGGGCCCCAGGGAAAGGAACAAAGGAGCCATTTTCATCTCCAGCCTCGCTGGGAACGGAGGGAGAGGGCGAGAGAAAAGACCAGTGTTTGCAAAACACAACAATCGGCAGGAAATTTTCCTCCGGCTTTTCGAGGTTGGGTTTTTTTTTTTTCTCTCTCTCTCTTCCTCTTTTTAACGGAGACATAGCATCAGGACAGTTTAAAAACAGCCAGGCACCGGCCAGCCACGTCTGCCACGTGCAGCCCTTTCTGGGCTGATGTTCCTCTCCTGCTACCGGGGCCCTAGAAGCCAAACGGTAAACGATGCTGTGGTCTCTCAGCGAGGGAAAGGGAAGGGGCTACCTTCACGGCAGACTAGAAATGATACTTCTGAACTGATGTGCCGCTTATGATGATTTTATGGTTTGTCAGCGATTTTAGGGGAAACAGAATCATGGTGGAAATGAAGAGGTGGTGAAGCACGATACACAACAGATTCACTGCCTGAGAGAGACAGGTCGACGTGGGGCTGGTTCTAAAACACATTTGCAACCTTGGGCTTATTCTCCATTTGAAATTTTGGACTCATGTCGAACACAAGGGTTTTTTTTTTTTTAAAGAGAACAAGCAGACACTACACAACAGAAAAAAATGTTACAAAAATAGTAGGCTGCTACAGACTCATTAAAAACTGCCACGGTCCCAGAGACCTAAATCCAGCTTTAAAATCCTGGGAGGTGAACCCCACTGGCAAACGTGCATTTTGAGATTGTTTTGGATACAGTTTGGCTGCTGCGTGGTCTGGCATTTATCGATAGGGACAGATGCGGAGAAAGGGATTCCTGGTTGCTCGACAAATCATCTGCCCTTGCAGCTTCACTCACAGGGAGAATTAAGGCACAAGATAATACTCTACATGGAGGGCGGTTACACAGAGGATCAAGTCCCTGGAAGGTGGAAGGGCTCTCGTGGTGCTGGGCCCCCTCCTCACCTGGCCATGATAGCACAGGGGCTGAAGCCCAAGACTCCATACAGTGGAGCTGCAGGGTGCAAGGCCATGCCCTGGGCTAGGGGAAAATCGGACACATGGGTGTAAGGGTTTCCTCTGGCCTGAAGATCTGCGGCTCTCTTCTCTCCACCTGACACGATGCTGCCTTGCCCTGGAGGAGGGCGTAATCCTCAGGACAGATCAACAGCCCAGCAGCCACGATCCCATGCTGACCTGTCGCCTAACCCAGCATCCTTGCGAAGCATGCAGTCAGCCAAACTTTTTCCAGTGAAGCATCTGAGAAGGGTTTTTGTGAGGAGCTGGGGGCACATTTGACGAAGGGAACCGACGATGGGGTGAGCAATAAAGCTCACTCAATGACCAGCCTAGAGGTTCTCATGAGGGGCACTGGAGCATGAGCTCCACTCCTCACCCCACACTGATTAATATAACAAATAAGACTGAAGCAGCCACATTGCCACTTCCCACCTCTGACGCACCCTCAGGTGCAGCTAAGGCAGCCATTTGCAGTCCCTACCACCAGCGCTGGGTACAGGCCAGAGCATGAACATGCAGCGGGATGTGCTTGCACCCATGCAGGAGCTTGGTGGGTCTCGGCATGGAAATGAGGACTTGCCTGCAGGGACCCGTGAACACGCAGCGGGATGTGCGGGGCCGGCTGCTTGCACCCGTGCAGGAGCTCGGTGGGTCCCGGCATGGAAATGAGGACTTGCCTGCAGGGACCCCATGCCGTGCCGAGGCCTTGATGATTCTCACTTTGGTTTCCAGCTTCCCTGCACCCATGGTAGCTCCCCTGTGGTGCCTGAGATGCATACGGACTGCGCTGCCCGAGCCGGGGGTGCCGGAGGGAGGCTGCTAAGCTGCTCCCCCAGCACACAATCTCTCCCCTGCAATCTGTCCCCTCCAAGCCAAGCATTGCTTTCAACTGTGTTTTTTTTTTTAAGCTACACCCCCTAAATATTTCTACTGGTCGCAGATGAAAAACACCACAACCCCCACTTCTTCAAAGACCATTTGATGACCCGATGGTGTCATTTCAAAAGCCATCCAAAAGCAACTGAATTATTTGAAGTGAAGAGCTTCAGCATATCATTTCAAATCACTGTTGGCAAATCTATGTACAGTAAAACCAATATATCACCATCCTCAAAGACATTACACACAGCAGGCACCACCTATCTAAGCCACTGAAAATATCACTGTAGGTCACACCAGCTACAAGACTGCTCTGCTCGAATCGTATCCCACATATTTTAATATTGAAACTATACATTCCTTCTCCTGTTTTTAATCACGAGTTGAGAGGGAGAGCAGTCCTGGCTTTTGGGACTTCTCTTGTTTCAGAATTGCTGTCACATGTTGGATTTTCAAGGCGTTGTGTGTGTGCCATAAGGCTCTTCATCTTTGGAAATATCCCTATCAACCTGCATCGCAAGATTTCTCCGAGAGGGAGAAAACCTGTACTCGCTGCTTCTAAACGGCATTCATTTCCACCCAGATCGCTATCTTTAGCTGACACAAGCCTCACAGGTTTTGGTTTCATACAATCCTCCTTCAGACCTTCTACACAATCTAGAGAAAATCAGCACCAGTGGGCCAACCGTCTCAGCAGGTTTGGGCTAGAAAAATACCACGGCGTTTATTAACACTGATGCGTTTCCCTTTTTCAAACTGCTTGCTCCCTAAAATACAAAGGTTTCTTTTCCATTTCCTTCACACGCAGGCATGTCCTCTTTCCCCAAGATGAAAATATCCAAACTCGAGATCTCATCTACTTGCCAATGAGTAAGCCTTTGGCACGGCTGCAAACTTGATGTGAATCAGGGGAGGGGAGGTCAGGGGGGGTGTGCACAGCTCTTCACAATACTGAGGAACACGCAACTTTCTTAGATAACTGCTGAGAGGCAGCGACGCGACCTTGGAGCTTAAGGGCTGATTTTCACCAGTTTCTCTCGTATACTTGGTCTAACAACAAGACAAGGCATTTCTATTTTAGCAGTTATTTGTCTAATATTTTACCCCTTAACTAAATAGGAAGATTTCATTTCCTTCCCCTCAATTGTTATCTGGCTACCAGCAAAGATCTGTGAGAAAGTGTCTCAGAAATAGAGATTTCTGGCATGCCACCTGTTCATAACTCAAATACACAGAACTATATATAAATACATGACATGGAACAAAAATACACACACACACAAGGATACTGGGTGGATTTTCAAATGCATTCAGCGTGCTCCCTCTGAAGTCAATGAAAACCCAACCCAGAGCGTCTGATGAGAGTAAATATGGTGAGGAAAACATACACATAAGAAAGGCAGAACTGGAGCACAAGCCAGCGTGGAGGAGGTGCTTTCCCTGCGTACAGCACCGCATCCCTGCTGCGAAGGCTCAAGGAGTTCATAGGGCAGGAGGTCCTAAGCTTTCCAGATGTGTGTCAGAGCCCAGAGAGGGTCTGATGGACTTCTCTCTGCCCCGTGCTGATCTCTGCAGGAACAGCAACAATTGACCTTCCAAATGTCCCTTCTCCGCTAAGATGTGGATTTTAAGCTCCTTTTAATGAAAGCTAGCATCTGGAAACAAGGAAGAGCAGCCAGCATTGTGGCAATGGGCCAGCTCTGCTGCAGGCACCCCCAGCAAGCTCGTACAAGAGCAGTCCATGGGCTACTGTTGGCAGATGGCTTTGGGACAAAACTGTAGTCCCTGCCCCTGCCTTCTTCCTGACTGCCACGGTTGGCCGTTTGTTCATCATCTTGCGGTGGGACGCTTGGGCACGTCAGTTTTGAAGCTGGACTGATACGTTCTCATGCCGTTTTCTCGCCCACGCTGTCCCCTGCATACACATCTACGGTGCAGAAAGGACGCTTAGTGCTAACCAGGACAATGAAAACTGGCCAAGAGATCCCACGGATGAATGTAGGCTGCCACCGCACAGAAATCACTCTGGCTGGCACATGCAGCTATCTGAAAGTTTGTTCTTTCACAGCAGGATTTTAAGATGATCCTCTGAGTTCAGACAAAATGACAAACTCATTTACATGTAAATTGCTTTCGTAGCTTTGCAGAAAGGAAGGTTCTGCCGAGCAGTGTTGGACCCTGCATTTGGCCTGCCTTAAATTATAATATAACAACAATTATAATAATACAAACACTACTTTGTACACAAAGCACGCCCTCCCCTGCAAACCCTGGCATGCTTCGGTAGGTCCTACAGCCCTCTAGTCAATAATCACCCTCTCTGCACACAGAGACATTGAGTGACTTGCCTGAGGCCACAGAGGAATTCTGTAGCAAGTTCAAGGAAAGCTTTGTGGCTCCTAGCTCTGCTTCTTGACCAACATTAACCAGCCTCAAATATATGCAAAAAACATCAAAGCTGACTGTGCCAGGAAGAAATTAAATCAGAAAACAAACAGAAAACCAACCCTGGGGTACTGTGAGGCCTCCTGGACTTTGCTGTTTGATCAGGGGAGTTAAGTGTTAAAAGCTTTTGTTATACTTGTATTACGATCACACAGCAATTGCGCATAAATCAACCAAGTTAGCTTGTAGGCAGAAAGGGGTGGAAGGAAAGCTGTGCCTCCCCTGACAAGGAGTGAAGAGTTGTCACCAAAAGACAATGGGCAGAGGAAGGCTGGGGAATACGCATCAGAAACAACCTGCAACAGCAGCAGGGGGTAAAGCCTGCGGAGGTTTGCTGCAGCACATCCACAGGGGCCAGCATCTCCATGCAGAGACACAACCTGACCCTACAGAGACCCGTCTCCTCTGCACCCCACGTTTGCTCCAAGGAGGAAGCCGCAGGGAGCTAGAGAGAGGGTCTTTTCAAACTGATTTTGATGCTTTACAGTTCAAATCTATCTGAAAGGAGGGACGTCAGCGACAAGAAGAGCCACCACAGCGAGGCCTGAGGGGAAAATGGAGCTGCACTAGGGCACAACCCTGCTGGAACAGGGAGAATAGCTGGCTTTATCGAGGCTGAGCCTCCTCTCTGCTGCGCCAGGGCAGCGGAGATCTCCATTTCATATGCTTTCAAGCAGCCCTCTGGATCCTGCAGAGCTGCTGAAGTTGTCCCTGTGAACAAATGGTTCTTTCTAGCTTCTCAAATTCTGTACAATAGCGAGGAAAAAATATTCGACAGTATCTCTTTAAAGATAAACACACTGTAAACAGGAGATCTCCCCCGCCCCGGTAGCTTTCTTCCTCCTGCTTGTGCAAAACCAGAGGTTGTGACCTTCCCTGGGGTTCAGGCACAAGGACAGGATGCGCAAGAATAAAGTTGCCTCTGTTTGCAGCGATACCATAGCTAATAGCACCAAGACCAACACTTAAAACATGCCTAATTTGAGGGCAGGGAGGATCTGGGTTTGTTTTTCTTGACTGAACTAGAAAGTTCATCTTTAAATCTGTTCAGCTTCAAGCATGTGAGCTTTTGGCCTCCTTTAAACAGGGGAAATACCATTCCGTTTCTGAAAAGAAAAAAAAAAATAGCACATGGAAGAACAGTTCTGCAGTCAGTAAAAGTTTGGCTAACAAAAGGACTCCAGAGTCACGTAAAGAACATTTAATCCATGGATTATAGGCTCACACCTGGCAGAAACGCATGTGTAAATACAGGCGTGCAGAGCGTCTACACCCTGGGCTAAGGCAGAGGGGAGTTCTGTAGCTAGGAGAGAGAAAGGATTCTTACTACTAATTTTCATAGTTAAATATATCTCACTCGCACTCACACATACGCAGGCTGTTCCCAGAGAGCTCAGCCTTGGGAAGGATAAAGGAAAGGGCTCAGTTCGGTCTGGGCTGGTGCTGAGTAGCTCCTCTTCTGTTTGCAGTGGTTGTGCAGCAAACTCTTTTATTTGCAGGCAGAGTTTTTACTGCATTAATTATCCTGTGAGTCACTGGGTAATGGACAGTAACTTGGCTCTCCCAGTTGTTAGAAGGGTGTAATTCAGCTCTAATGCAGCGGGTTGTCGAACACGGCATCTGGCAAGATGGAAACTTTCAGTTTCTTTTCAGGCCAGCTGTACTCCTTTGGAAGTTTAAACTGTAAGACAGTAAAGAGAACCAGTTAATGTATATCACTGCAACCTGCACAGAAAACCCAAAATCCTTGCAAAGGCAGGCAGCCCCATGTTATTAGTTTTTAAAACAAGAGGCCACTAAGAAAACATTTCCCCATTAGTATGTTTTGGACAGCAGTGGACATTAGATAATGTGTCCTGTGCCTCAGCTGCCAAAGTAAAGTTCTGAGATTTCAGCCCAAGCACTGTTTATTTCATCAGATGGATTCTGAAGGGTTGCTGCCCCCATCACCATTTCCCCTCCCTGTCCTCTCTGAAAATTCGCAGCACAAGTATCTCCCCTCCTACCTGACCATGTCCCTTTCTTTTCACCCAGCCCAGCCCCCAGAGCCCCCGTTTACTTTAAAGGGAGACTTATGGCAGCTTTCAAACCCTTGCTCCTACAGGGTGGGATGTAAGTGACCTAGCATGGCTCTGTCGGGTGACAACCTTGCGAATGGCTGTCACCTTTGGGAAGGCAAACTGTGCCACCCCAGCTGGGGAGAGCCAGCATGCCTGAACAGCATTTCTGCTCCAGCCCTACCCACCTCTGGTGCAAAGGCTTCGCAGAGCGCCTGTACAATGCCTTGTATTCACACAGGCACTCGGCTGCTCAGGCTGTTTTGCAAACATTGAAGCACAGGGAACAGAGATTTTTTTTGCCCCAGTCTGGTTTATACAGCACCGTCTCTGGCCAATGTTTCCCAAACAAGGCAAGTGCACTGGTCCTGTCCTGACGTGGCTCCAGGGCACTCCGCCTTCGGCTGGGAAGTCACCCCAACATCTCTGATCCCAATCATGACTGTGTGGGGACAGAGGCCCAAGGGGCCTTACCGCCAACCCTTCTCACAACCACCTTTGACCAGGGCCCACGAATTCACACAGATCTCTCCAAAACAGCTCAGGGGGTGGGGGTGGCATCTCTTAGGCTACTGATCTGCCCCACAGCTGGATGGCAACCAGATCTGGACAAGCATTTCACCCAAGCCCAGCGCCCAGACTGAGGGCCTAACACCCATGGGGGACAGTGCTGGAAGCCAGTTTGCAGGATGATTTTGTTTTTAAAGCTCTGCCGCACCCACCATGTAGCACCGCCTGACACCCGATGGGACTCCCAGGGAGAAATCTCACCGGGATCCCACACCCCCCCATAACAATTCAGAACGGTTACAGATACAGCGGTCCTGTCCTAGGAGAGTCCTCAGACCAAGGCCAGCAGCACCACAAGCTTTGGAGGGGCTACGTGAATGAGAGAGTTGGTGCAAGGGGACAGTGACCTGCAAATCATCCACCTTTATCCAATTACTTGTCTTTCTTCCCGTAAGTGCCCCATTTCTGAAGGACATTAACACACGCTTAGTGGAAGGTTCCTGCTAAAGGAGATCCCCTCCAGCTGCCTGCTACATCACAGCAAGGGCGGCTCTGACATGAATTTGCTCCCTTTGCAGCTGTGTACGAGGGTAACCTGCAGTTGGTACCCATTGACCTTAGTATGCCAGGCTGGCGGCTCAGGGTCTGAGCCATGATCTGGGGGCACAGCAGGAGGATCGTTCAGGATAGTGGCTACCGTAAACTCCTACTCCTTCTCCTCTAGGAAACATAAACAGTCCAAGTCCCACTTATGGTTGTTTTTTTTAAACTGAAGCTCTGCATATATCTTGCACCATATAATCTAGTGGCTGTACACTGCCCAGGGGATTCTTCTGAGTTCAATGTCTAGGGTATGTGAAAAACATGCTAAAGAAACTCAGACAGATAATTTTACTTAATCTCACTTAACACAGGTGGCTCTTTATGAGGCAAAGGAAAGAGTCTCCTTGCAGTGCTTCGTATCACCACATGAATATCATCAGCAACAGCCAGAGCTGCTGAGGAACGCCTTCAGTTGGCCCTAACTGGGATCCTGCAAGTTACAAATCCTTGGAGGAATCTGGATGCTGAAAGATCACATTTCATCTCAAGTATTTTCCTTTTTATAAACAGGAGTGGTTCCAAAGCAATCCTCTTGGAGAAGTCATCCTTTGCATTTGTTTGTTTTTCACTTTTTCATTTAGCCAAGTCACAGTAACTCGGAACTGAGTGCCCGTTCGCTGTGCCAGGAGCTGCCATGCCCACTGCCTCTGCCTCTCAGCAGAGAGCGAAGGAACATGAGTCGTCCAAAGCCTTAACTAAAGGGCCTTCAAACCACAGTGCTCCTGGGCTTCCATGTCACTAGCAAAAATGAGCTTTGGATTAGGTTTAACGGGATAAAAGCTGGCCTGAAAGTCACTGCACAGCCAGCAGCGTGCTCCCCTCACTCACACAGTGAAGAACACCCTGGCATTAAATCAACTCTGGATTAAACAATTAGAGCCCTGAGATTTTCCTGGGGGGAGGGGAGCAGGGTGAGGGATGGGAGGGCTGTTCTACAAGCCAAGGAAAGTTTCTTTAGAGTCTGCAGGGAGCTGTAAAAAATGGGATTAAAAATATTACATGTCATTTCTGCCACTGCTCTTTGAAGTCAAGCAGAATATTTATATGGCATGCATGGGAGACAGGGTGTTAAATGTTCCCCAGGAAGAGATCACATGGCAGGGGGAAGTTTAGCACCACACAGCAAAGCTTTATAAAGCTCCCCTGGCTGCTGCTATAACGCTTCCAGGCTGGTGATGTTCCTCTGCACGCCGTACAGGAGCAGCAGGTGAAGGCCAAGTAGCAGATGTGAAAAAGCCCCCCTCTGCTCCCCAAACCCAAAGCGGGATGCTCCTACAACAGATTGTTCAGCAGTAAATGTGCTGCTGCTGCTTTCAGCCTTTCTGAAAGCGGGGAAGGTGATGTGCTGGGAGGAAACCCCACCACCTGGCCCAGGGGCTACACCACTTTGATTTGGGGCACTCAAGTACCACATTGGGAAAGATGCTGGAGGAAAGGAAATGCAGAGTCTCCCTTAAAACTCATCCCTGCCCTGTATTTCTTGCAATCCCTTCTCTCAGTGCCTTAGTTCACAGCAGATGTGAAGGTTTAGCAAGGCCTCAAGACTATGGGGCAGGGCTGCAGCCTGTGAGCTGAGGGAAGGATCAAAGGCAAGCTGCAGGACGGGCTCAGCTCTCTGGGATGGTGCATGGGAGATATGGGAATGACGCAGCCTTACTTCCTCTGGAGAATTCAGATCTTCTAAATCTTCCAGCATTCTCTCTACAAACTCTTCAGTCAATAGTATCTGCAAAGGAAATACAGTAGTTTATGCCTTTACACTCCCAATTTTAGCTAATTGCCAAGACACAGAATGCCTTCTGCAGAGAGCAGACTGTACCAGCTCATCCTTCCCCCACGTCCTTCTTTCCCGCAACACAAAGGTTTGAGGGCAAGGAGCTCCTAACTCTGCCTCCCACCCCAACCACTGCAAAAAAATGTTAAAATTATACAGCAATCTTTTTTGACCCTCAATTATCTTCCTCAGTCTAAAATTAGAGGCTCGGCTTTAGACAGACAGAGTGGGGAAGGAGGAAAAGGGGTCAAGATAACAACTGGGGGAGAGACAGTGGGAGACAGAGCCACTTTCATCTGATCCATTGAAGTTAAGCTCACGGTTTAATCAGGAAACAGCAGTGCAGGGAGAGCCTGAGACCCGTACAGAGCTGGTGCCCTGGGCACAGGGAGGGCTCTGACCCGAATGCAGAGCTTCGTTCAGAAGAACCAGACGCTGGGTACGGAAGGTGCTCCCAGAGGTGCCCGCGCTAGGCACCTCCATGTTGTATCGCACGTGCCCATCCTGCATGCCTGTGCTGGGAAAGCTTTTGGCTCATCTCAGGGCCAGGCTGGCAAGCATGAAGCAGCCCAGGAAAGCAGCTGCCAATGGGTCAAAATTCCCAGCTGAGGGCCATGACCTCATGACTCCATGAGCCCCCCAAGTTACACAGACCAGAGACACTGAGGGGAAACCAGCCCCGGGAATTCAAGGGGAGGAACTCCCACCCTCTTTAAAAAAGCACGTGATAGCCAAAAGCAAACATGTCCTGGCTCTCCTAACAACAGTCATAAAGGCCAGAGCTCCAGGCAGGCCAGCTGGCTTGGCACAGGAGCAGAGACGGCAGTGCGGGACCAGGCAAACATCCCTTATTCCCATTTCAGCCTACAGGTTTGTTTCTTCCCCCCTGCTCCTCCTTTCCTTCCTTTGCTCCACCCTTTCCTCTGTCTCAGGCATTGCTTTCCATCCTGAAGCAACCATCATCCCCATGCCCCCTTTCTCACCCTTCCCCTTCCCTGTTCTCCCCAACCATGAGCTCCGTGCTCACTCCCAGAGAAGGGACTGCTCCAGCACCAAACACTGACAGAGCTAAGTGCCCAGCCCCACTGCTCTCCACTGTCCCCTTCAGCTCACGTCTGGAAGAGGGGCAGCCAGGTTCTCCCACCTCCATGCAGGCAGCCACCTCCCATGCCTATCAGCTCCTTGGTGCCAGTAACATCAGTGGGGAGCAAGTGACTGCCAGGATGCCATGGGCTGTTTGGCAAGTGGAAGCCTCTGGACTCCATTTTGGTAACACACAAGCAGTGTCCAACCTTTCTACTGGACAGAAAGAGAAAGGGAAGACTGGGCTCCCTTTCTTCCTTTGGTTGGCAAGAGAAGAGATCTGAAAACAGCAAATCCAGATCCGAGAGCTACCAGGTGTCTGCAGTTCTCTCCCCTGCAACCTTGCCACCCTGCTGCCATTGCACACATATTTCCCAGGGGAAGAGGGAACTGCAACCTTCCCTCTCCACCACATTCCCCTCTTCGCTTAGCTTCAACCTGCAGCAGGCTCCAGGCCAGGGTTTATGACCGAGCTGCTCAGCATGGATGCAGACACCTCCATCATCAGGCCTTTCTGATCATACCATGAGCCTGAAAAAACCCTGCTTCAGCTAGGAGCCAGGAGCTTGCTGCTTTGGACAGGCTCTGCAACCTGGCACCAATCCGCAGACTGGCAAGCTGAGAAACATTGCACTGAAACACGCAGTACCACCGCAAACTACTGCAGTCTCCTTGCAGGAGCCTGCAACTATTCTGCCTGTTGAACTGGAGACACTTGTTTGTTGACTGTTGCAGGAGGAGGAAGCTGTCTGTCCATGTTGGAGGCAGGAGGGCAACCCGATCGCTCAGCTCAGAAGGAAGAGCTGGGTGGGGAGCTGGGGCTCCGCATGGAGTAGATCGGTTTCTGCGGAGGTGCAGCCTGCAATGGGGTGAGGGAATGAAAACAATTTGGCAGACATCAAAATCTACAGAGCAGCCGGAAAAAGGAGGAGGAATTGGTATTCACAGCAATCAGGCAAGGAGGAAATGAATATTCAGCCATCCACGGATGAGCAAAAATGCCAGAGGTTAGGATGCGCTCTTCCCTCCAGACATCCATGGTAATTCTCAGCCAAAAGCAGCTCCAACACAAGACCCCTGGGCACTCCCCAAGGTGCCAGAGGCAGGAGAGAAATGGGAACCACGTGCGCAAGGCAGCCAGCTGCTCTAAGGCTGGAGGAAAACAAGACAGG